CCTGTGCGGTTTAAAGTCACACGGCTCACGAATAAAAAGAGAAAAGCCAGCCCTGTGACAGCGTATGTATTGGTTCTTTCTCCCCTGCCTCCTTCCTGCCCCACACACGAGGCCGCGGTGGTGGAAGGACAGTTATGCAAAACTGGACGTTAGAAAGCAAACCTGCGACCCTGTAACTGTCCCTTGCCCTCTCAGACCAGTGTTAGCATGAAGCAGTAATCGAGTCCCTGGTCCAGGTACCGAGAACAGGAGGACTTGCCTGCCGGTTGCCTGGGAAATGCGGGGGCGTGGGGGGCGTGGGGGCGGGGAGCCAGGGGCCGGGATGTCTCACGGACACTCAGAAGGGCCGTCTGGCTGTCCACCACGCAGCTCCGCACAGTCAGACCTTCCCTTGAGCCTGGGCTCCGTTAGCAACCCCACACGCATCATCCCCTCGGTTTTCATGGGTACGCGACAGCATGTTCTTCTGGGTTTCAGGTAATTCCTCTGATTTCATCCCCACTTTATCGAAATAGGGTCAAGTTCTTGAAACTCTCCGTTGGCTTGGACACTAGTTGAATTGTTTAAAAAACTGACCCTAAAACAGTATATCTTTGCCTTTTTTAAACCAGTAGGCCCTATTTTTGACAAACATAAAAATCTTACGCCCTTTTCTTGGCTGTTATTTGAAGCTTAAAAAAGTAAGTTAAATGTCATTAGACAAAAAGAAAATAATAAATCACTTTTGCAAACTAGACCTAGTCTTGTCGCAGACCGAGGAGGCTCCCCTGGCGGCTCAGTGGGTGGGAGGAGCCCCTGGGGTAAAACCTGCGAAGATACCTCCTGACCCCAGATTAGTAGCCCCTGCACTCAAGGCACTGGTTTATTCTAGAGTATTTATTCCCCTCTGACGACAGTGCAGAAAATTCAGCGAGCACAGAGAAACACAAATAGAATAAAACCACTTAACGGAGATGTTCTTCCACACGAAACTAAATGCGAACCTTTGACGACATCATTCCTGTCGCTTTTCTGCACGTGTGTCTGTGCACACGTCGGGGCTCCCGTTACTGAACCGCTGATACGCGCGAGCATTTCTCAGGTGAAGGCACCGTTCAATCACGTAATTTATATAAATCATCTCTAACATTTTCATTGTTTAATCAGATCTCTCTCTCTCAGTGTATGCATAGAAAATCAGCTGTGGAAGAATAGCTACATGCTGTGAAGAACATAGCTGTACATACTTAAGGACCGCGGAGTACCCGCTGTCCGAATGCACCCTAGTTTACCGTAATTATCTAAGCGAGTCCGACTGCTTACATGTTCAGGCCTTTGAGCGGTCCCCGTGGCCAGAAGCGCTGTGAAGAGCAGCCCTGTGCGGGTCCCTGCATTCACCTCCGATGCCCCGGGGGGCGCTGTTTGCGGGCTCATTTCCCCCAGTTCCATGTGCTGAAGCAACAGGAGGCGTGTTGAGCTTGAGTCTGAAGGCTTGGGCGGTAAGTACCACAAGTAAGAGGGTTCCCCGAAGATGGTGAGCCTGTCGGCCCCCACCCCACATCTTCGGAGCTGCTGGTTTGGGGGCTCACCGTGTGCACCCGCCCGAGGGGAGCACAGTAGGAGGCGAGCGAGGAAGGCAGGTGAGTGCGGGAACCGAGTGTTGGCAGGTAACAGACGCAGCTGCCAAGACTTACGGCCAACATCCCGCGGCTCCGGCGGCCGGAGGGTTACTTCCCCCGCGTGTGAACAGCCCAGAGCCAGGGCTGGCAGGGCGGCTCTGCCTCCAGCTCGCTCGGCTTTTACCTTGGCACGCGGCTGCCCCAGCTCCTGCCACCTCCCGCATCCAGCCAGAGGGCAAGGCCCCAGGAAGAGGACGGGGTCCTGGAGGTCAGTCCGGGAGGCCACGCCCCTCTCCTCCCCTGTCAGCTGGGACTTAGCCTGTGATCGGCACTGCGAGGGGGCTGGGACAGGGGCTCTCTACGGGTGGCCCCATGTTTGCTACACGTTAGTGACCGGCTTGGGGCCAGGTAGCCCGCTAGGCACTCCTGGCTCCCAGGAGAGTACCAGAGGCCCCAAAGTGGTGTCTCTGTCTCAGTTGTTCTGTTAGGTGATTGTGGGGCTGGTTTGCGAGGAGGAAGCCAGTGTTTCAGCCAACGTGACGGCGAGGAGGCGACATGGTGCGGACGGAAGGCACACGGTCGCAGCACTAGGACAGGGAGTGCCCCGGGCCCTGCAGAACGCCTGAGCGGCAGGGGTCTCTGGAAGGAGGTTTGCTGTCACATACCTGGAGGGTGACCGAGCAGTGCCTGAGACAGCTGCTGTCTGGAGACTCTATTTTTATTTTCCCCAGGCCAACAGGAGGGAAGTCGTAGGGAAGAGCTGAGCTGGGTTGATGGGTGAATTGGGAGCATCTAGGGGCAAGTGGGAGGAGGTGCGGGGACTCACCAGAGATTGGCTTCGCCTGTTGGCTCCAGTGAGGTGCTAGGTGGGTCAGTGACACGGTGTCACAAGCACAATGAGGGGAATGAAAGACCTGGCTGACCACCCGCTGACCCCCCAGCAGTCCAAGCATGAGGCCCTGCGCAGATCCGGGCCTCCTCATCCACCACGTGGCTGGTGACTGCCCACCTGTATCACAGGCTGGCAGAAGCTTGAGACATGGTGAGCTGCAGAGGACCCCGCGACGAGGGTGTCCGCCAGGGCCGAGGGCATTTTACCAGGGAGAAGCTTCCCTGGAGGGCTGGGGGGGGGGGCAAGTCGCCCTCATGAGCTACCAGGGGCCAGCTGTGCACAAGCCCTTGAAGGAAGACTTTGCAGGCAAGACTGGCTGGACTTGGTTGAGTGGCCACTGCCTGTCACATGCTGTTCACTCCATCCATCCTTGGGGTCAGACGGCCCAGCGAGCCGTAGGACCACCACTGACGCACACCTGACCTGTCTGAAGCCCGGGTCAAAGCTCCGGACTCGCTCCCCCACCCACCCGCAGGTGGGCACTGCCACTCCCCGGACCCGGTCGGAGCCCCAGGCTTGCGGTGAGGTGCTTGGCCGTCGGAGCCGCCGGGCTTACACGTCCCTCTGGGTGGCGTCGAGGCGCGGCCTACACCGCCTCGCACGGCCTTGTCCCCTCCAAGCACAGCTGCTGAGCCTGCTTCATGGGGCTCCCTCGGGGTGTCACACCTCCGATGACAGAACTTTCTGGAGATAGGAGATGCAGGGTGGGCTCATGATCGGACTGGAGATGTGTCGGTTTGTGGAGGGTCCCCCTCCCCAGGTCGCCAGCCTGGGAGGGGCTCCTGGGCGGGGAGCGGGGTCTCCGGCTGGGTCCCAGCGCCGTGGCCACACCGCGCAGACTCCTCAGGCAGCGGCAGCCTTGCCCATCGCTCGGCGCAGGCTCATCGCTAAGACTCGGCAGCACGCCAAAAACTACTTTCTGCCGATCTGACAAAAAATAGAGGAATAATTTCGATTTATTCACCCCGGATGGCTATTGTGTTGGCCGTTGTCCTTTTAAAAATTTGACAATCTAAGGGAAAAGAGGTCAGTGCTGCTGACTCAAGCCAGGTATTGTATGTTCTAAAACTTCTTGCAGCACTCTGGTTGAAGGTCGCTGTTCCCAGGCAATCCCAGGGAACTAATCGTCAGAGGCCTTGACTGGCGGCCCGACGGGCGCTCTGGCCGGAGCAGCGACTTCTGGCGACCGGGCCCTTCCCTGGGGCAGCTGCTCCTGGGGACACAGGCCAGAGCCCGTTCTGCCCCTCCTCTTGCCAGGTGCACGGCTCGGCTCTGCCCCCTGCCACCACCCGCAGCTGGTCAGCACAACTGCTTTCAGACTCTAGATTCCAGAATGGAGACATCCTTTCGGCCGGAATCTCGACAAAACCCCTCACAGAAAACATTGCTGCCTCCATACTCACTAGGATGCTAGGAGGGCAAGACTCAGGGCAAACCACTTGGGGCTCAAACCCAGTGATGAGCACTTGCGGTAATCGGATGAGCGCCCAGCAGTGCCCAGCGCTGCAGGAGGCCCTTCTCGCTGGCTCGGACCACGGGGCCCAGCGCTGCAGGAGCCCCCCCCCCCGCTGGCTCGGACCACGGGGCCCAGCGCTGCAGGAGCCCCCCCCCCCCCCGCTGGCTCGGACCACGGGGCCCAGCGCTGCAGGAGCCCCCCCCCCCCGCTGGCTCGGACCACGGGGCCCAGTGCTGCAGGAGCCCCCCCCCCCCCGCTGGCTCGGACCACGGGGCCCAGTGCTGCAGGAGCCCCCCCCCCCCGCTGGCTCGGACCACGGGGCCCAGCGCTGCAGGAGCCCCCCCCCCGCGCTGGCTCGGACCACGGGGCCCAGCGCTGCAGGAGCCCCCCCACCCGCTGGCTCGGACCACGGGGCCCAGCGCTGCAGGAGCCCCCCCCCGCTGGCTCGGACCACAGGGCCCAGCGCTGCAGGAGCCCCCCCCCCCCCCCCCCGCTGGCTCGGACCACGGGGCCCAGCGCTGCAGGAGCCCCCCCCACCCGCTCGCTCGGACCACGGGGCCCAGCGCTGCAGGAGCCCCCCCCCCGCTGGCTCGGACCACGGGGCCCAGCGCTGCAGGAGTTCCCCCCCCGCAGGCTCGGACCACGGGGCACCGCGCGGCACCAAGGATCACGGGCAGCAGAGTGCGGGCAGCTGGCCAGCCTGTTCTGGGCCCACAGACCACCTCCGGGACCCTTGACTGCAGATGGGGACCCGCATCAAGAACTCCAGGACCACAGTGGCCTGGTTGCTGGCACCGCACCCCCCTTGGCTCTGGGCCGAGGCCAAGTAAACAGGTGACGCATGAAGGGCCCGCAGTGCCTGGCATTTCGTGAGGCCTCAATACAGGGCAACTATTGTTCCCAATGGACACGGCTCCATAAACTCCTAAGAAGAACCTACACAGAGTGGATTCCCTAGCCAAGGGGCCCTGACCTTCACCAGGGAGACCCTGAAAGGGCGATATAAACACCCGGCCCCCTGGATCACCCTGGAAAAAGCAGTAGACACAGCATGTCCTGTCCAGGAAGCATTTTACTGTTGCTCCAAGTTTAAGAATTTCCCTGACAGAAAATCGGCACTTTCAGAAAACCTCCCGCATGGCCTTGCTCAGCTTCTGAATCTTGGTCTTTGCAGACATGTCGACATACTTCTCTCCAATACGGACAATCATTCCACCCATGATGGACGGGTCGGTCTAGGAAAGAAAACAGATTGGAGACGTGAAAACACGACATTTCACTAATCAGATGGAAAGACAAACAGTGCGCCGAGAAGTCTGTGCTACGTCACGTAGACGTGATCCCACCAGGTAAAGGGCCGAGGGACACTGCACGGATGCCTGACGTGCGACTGGAACGTGAAGTCCCCACTGCAGGCAAAGCGGCAGACACTCAGCTGACTTCCATGTTAAGTGTCAGATTAACCCGAGGAAACGCACCACATAGTTAAAACCCACCTTAACTTCCAGTTTCAACACCTGGCCTTTACTCAGGAAGCTATTCAGGACCGTTTTCAATTCAGAAAGACTGGCGTCATCTAAAGGCTACAAAAGAACAAAACCATCTTTTACATGTAGATAAAGCAAAACAGCACAGTCCTGTCGTCAAGGGAAGAACACCTGGCAGGCATCACCAACACGGGCCTGTGCCCATCTGGACCCTCTGTGCGGGCTGAGGGAGCATGTGGAGACCCCGCCTCCCAGCGCTCACGGTACTAGCAGTGCAACTGAGAAACGACAGGGGAACCACCCGAGGGGTGTGATGCTGCAGTGCGCAGGCCTCCTCTGGGCGGCGCTATGGGCACGGCTGAGCTTCCGCTTCCTTGGAGAGGAGCAGCCCAATGATCCAGCAGCCTAATGATCGCTGAGGCCGGGCGAGCGCTCTGGCACACCTCCCCGTGCCCGGGACGCCTCCCCGCTGCCCCGGGACGCCTCCCCGCTGCCCCGGGACGCCTCCCTGCTGCCCGGGACGCCTCCCTGCTGCCCGGGACGCCTCCCCACTGCCGGGACGCCTCCCTGGGCAGCCTGGACAGGGGCTGGCTCTGCAGTCAGCACACTCTGTGCTGTCACACAGGGCAGGCAGCCCGACATCCGCACTCCTCTTGCCCACTCTTACTCCTAGTTAGGTGAGCATGGAATAGTTCACCTGTTACAAATCTCACCCATTCTTCCAAGAGTTCATTGGAAGCAAAACCCCTTTTTATCTTTGCAAACTCTATCAGTATCGTTTGGGGGGTGGGGTGGTGAAATCTATCTGTGTTCAGTCAAAGCATCACTTGCTGAGACTCTAAGGACAGAGGGCCCAGATGCCCATCTCCCATGTGGACAGGTACTGAGGGCCCGGCACCGTCTGTGCCAGCCTTCCGTACACCATGCCTTTACTTGGCACCTCGGGAGGCCAGCAGCTGTTACTCCCACTTAGTGCGCAAGAACTGAGGTGCAGCGTGGTGAAGAAACCCAAGGCCCACCAGAAAGGGAGGACGTGGCCAGCATTCGAGAGCAGTCTGTTCTGGTCTATGCCCTTGGTCACTAATCAAGGTGTATGTTCTTTTTAAAGAATGGAAACTCATTTACCAAGGAGTTTCTACATCAAGAACATTAGTATTAGTTGGCTCTAAAAAACTTTTATAAAAATAAGCACTCCTGCCCTGGCCTGTTTGGCTCAGTGGTTAGTGTCGGCCTGTGGACCAAGCAGTCATGGGTTTGATTCCAGTCCAGGGCACGTACCTCGGCTGTGGTTCATGCCCGGCCCTGGTCAGGGCTGTGTGAGAGGCAACCAGTCGATGTGTCCTTCTCGCGTCGATGTTTTTCTCTCTCTCTCTCCCTCCCTCCCACTCTCTCTAAAGATAAAAGAAAAATATCCTTGGGTGAGGATTAAAAATAATAATAAAAAATAAAAATAAGGACTTCTTAAAAATCACGTGGTGGTGATCACTGCACAGCAGCCTGCACTGGTGCCTGGCCGTGGGGACAGCGTGGCCATCGCGCTCTGATGACTCTCGGGTGGGCGAGTGCTAAAATGCCCTGAAACTGGCCAGGTTAGAGCATCGTCCCGATATGCCAACGTTGTGGGTTCAATCCTCCGTCAGGGCACATACAAGAATTAACCAATGAATGCATAGACAAGTGGAACAACAAGTTGATGTCTCTCTCTCTCTCTCTAAAATCATTTAATACAATAAAATGTCCCTGAAACTGCTTTTTGGGAGATGTAGAATAACGTTTAGACACTAGAAATGCTCATCTTGAGGTCAAGTGCTGCAGATTCTGAGTAAATCTGCCAGGCTCTATTGATAAATGAGGTCCCCAGACAGTTTTCCTATATGGAACTACAGCAGGAAAACACACATTTAAGACAGAGAAAAAGAACGCTGGGGAGAGAGTGGAGCTGAAGGAACATGGGGTGCTGAGAGAGGATGTGTTCAAATCCTGGCTTGACTGTGACCAGGACAACTTACTTTCCCTGTAACAGAGAGATAATTATGCTTCCACTGTGCGTGGACCTTTGACATTAATAAAATACGAAAGCACCCAGCACATGGTAGGTCTCAGTAACTGGTGGCTACTGCTACAGCCCATTCCAGCAAGTAAGCAAGATCAGGGCCTGTCCACCCCTCTTTCGCATTCACCACCCCTCCCCATTCGCTGCCCCTTCTCATTCACCACCCTCAGACTGGAAATGAGTTTCCGTGAACTAACAAAATAACTCAGACCTGTAGTGGAGCATAAACCAGTACTGCCCAACCCCTTTTACCCGAGCTCAGTCCCCACGAATGCTGCGGAGGCCCTCGGGACACACCGGGACCCTCCAAGCGGAGGCTCACAGGAGCTGGTGAACAAGGCAAATCGCCCACGTAACGAGTCACCGTCCCAGTTTCTCAATTTGAGCCTTTAACTTTTTCTGCAAAATGTGATGCATGAAATGCCAAGGGAAATGCAGCAGCCACAGCCCCTCACTTACAGACGCAGTGGTCACTGTGCATGGGACTTCTCCACGGTGGACGCTCATCATGGTAGAAAAGGCAGAGATGACAGCAGGGGTACTGGTCAAGCGACCATTCTCAGCGAGCAAATCTGGGAAAGTGAAGGAACTCACTTAAAGTGGGTTATCCTTGAGGCATTACACTCACCTCCAAAGCAAAATGTGTGGCCTTACAATATATTTAATGTTCTTTAAGAATGTGAATGGAGAAGATGTAATTGTTATTCAATGTTGTTTTTTAAAGACTGCACCAACATGCATTTAAATTAGTAAGGGTGTGTCTTACACCGATTTGCAACATGTACGTGGTTGTGTCTTTTTTTGCTTAATCCCATCACTCCTTTCACGCAGACCCCCAAACCCCCTCCCCTGACAGCTGTCACTGTCTGTCTGTTCTCTGTCTGAGTCTATTATTTTGTTTGCTAGCTTACTTTGTTCATTAGATTCCACATACAAGTGAAATCGTGTGGTACTTGTTTTTATCTGACTGGCTTATTTCACTTAGCATAATCGCCAGGTCCATTCGTGCCATCACAAAAGGTAAGATTTCCTTCTTTTTTTTTACAGCTGCATTGTATTCCACAGTGTAAATGTACCACAGCTTTTTGTCCACTTATCAACTGATGGGCACTTGGTCTGCTTCCATAGCTTGGCTATTGTAAATAATACTGCTATGAACGCACGGTTGCGTATTTTCTTTTGAATTAGTGTTTCGGGTTTCTTTAAACATGTTCTTAGAAGTGGAATTGCTGGGTCATAAAACAGTTCCATTTTAAATTTTTTGAGTTAACTCCATGCTGATTTCCACAGTGGCTGCACCAGTCTGCATTCCCACCAACAGTGCATGAGGGCTCCCTTTTCTCCACATCCTCACCAACACTTATTTACTGATGGCAGCCATTCTGACAGGTGTGAGTTAGTATATCATTGTGGTTTTAATTTGCATCTCTCTGATGATTAGTGACACTGAGCATCTTGTCATGTCTATTGGCCATTTGTATGTCCTCTTTGAAAGAGTATCTATTCAGGTCCTTTGCCCATTTAATTGATTTTTTGGGGGGTTATGTAAGTTCTTTATAAATTTTGGATATTAACCCTTTATCATTGGTGAATATGTTCTCCCATCCAGTGGGTTGTCTTTTCATTTTGTTGATGGTCTCCTTGATGTGCAAAGTCTTATGTTGATGTAGTCCCATTTATTTCTTATTTCCCTTGCCCGAGAAAATATATCAGAAAAAAATATGGCTATGAGAAATGTCTGAGATTTTACTGCCTGTGTTTTCTTCTAGGATATTTACGGTTTCGAGTCTAACATGTAAGTCTTAATCCATTTGAGTTTATTCTTGTGTATGGTGTAAGGTGGTCTAGTTTCATTTTTTTTGCTTGTAGCTGTCCAGTTTTCCCAACACCATTTATTGAATAGACTATCTTTGCCCCATTGTATGTTCTTGTCTCTTTTGTCAAATATTAATTGACCATAAAGACATGGGTTTATTTCTGGGCTCTCTATTATGTTCCACTTATCTATGTGTCTGTTTTATGCCAGTACCATGCTGTTTTAATTATTTGGGGTCTGTCTTTGTGGTTCCATATAGATTTTTGGAATATTTGTTCTAGTTCTGTGAAATATACCATTGTTATCTTGATAGGAATCGTGTTGAATCTATAGATTACTTTGGGTAGCATGAACATTTTAATGATGTTAATTCTTCTTATCCATGAACGTGGTATATGCTTCCACTTTTTGTTATCTTCTTCAATTTCTTTCTTTGGCGTCTTATAATTTTCTAAGTACAGGTGTTTTACATCCTTGGTTAAATTTTTTCCTAGATATTTATTTTTCTTAATGCAACTGTAAATGGAATTATTTTCTCAGTTTCCCTTTCTGATAGTTCATTATTGGTGTATAGAAATGCAACTGATTTCTGGGTAAATACTTTGAATCCTGCTACTTCTCTACACTTGTTTACCAGTTCTTAATAGCTTTTTGGTGGAGTCTTCAGGGTTCTCTGCATACAATATCATACTTATGGTGAGTTTTACTTCTTCCTTTCCAATTTGGGTACTTTTTATTTTTCCTTCTTTTCTGACTGCTACGGCTAGGACTTGTACTCCACTGAGTAAGAGAGGTGACGTGAGTGTCTCTGTGCGGTTCCTGATCTTAAGGGAAATACTTGCAGTTTGTTTTTTTTATCCTCACCTGAGGACGTTTTTCCATTTCTGTTCAGATAGAGTGGGAGGGAGAGTGAGAGAGAAACATTGACGCGAAAGGGACACATAGAGTGGCCGCCACCCGCACGACCAACCAAGGCCGGGGACAAACTGCAACTGAGGTACATGCCCTTAGCGGGAACCAAACCAGGGACTCTCTGGACCGCAGGCCGACGCTCTAACCGCTGAGCCAAACCGGCCAGGGCAACACTTGCAGTTTTTGTCCTTTGGGTACAATGTTGGCTGTGGGCTTGTCACTTATGGCCTTTGTTATGTTGAGGTATATTCCCTCTATTCTCACTTTGCTGAGAGTTTTTATCATAAATGGGTGCTAGATTTTATCAAATGCCTCTTCTGCATCTACTGATATGATCATGTGGTTTTGATCCTCCATTTTGTTTATATGGTATACCGAGTTTGATTTGCAAATATTGTACTAGTCTTGTATCCCTGGAATAAATCCCACTTGGTCATGGTATAAGATCTTTTTAATGTATTGCTGGATCTGCTTTGCTAATATTTTGTTGAGGATTTTAACATCTATGTTCTTCAGGGATATTGGCCTCTAATTTTCTTTGTCTGTAGTGTCCATCTTGTTTTGGAATAAGGATAATGCTGGCCTCATAAAATGAGCTTGGGGTGTTCACTCCTCTTGAATTTGTTGGAATAGTTTGAGAAGGATAGGTGTTAGTTCTTCTCTGAATAGTTGATATTTTGATCACAGTGTGCAATCTAATTTTCATATTTATGTAAAAGATTTTAACGTTTGGCTACAAATCTTCAAATTAACAGTCTATATTAAAAAATAAAAACATGAATACACTTTCTTTGGAGCTTGTATTCTGAATTGACCATGGGGTTTGAAAAGCAACCTGATAAACAAAAGAATGCAAATGTCTTAAGGGCATAGGGACAGCCAGGCTACAAAGCATTCTGTTGGTGTGGATCCCACTGGTGGCTCCATGGGTTAAAATACTATGAGATCAGACACCCTTACATCTTAGTACCTTTAGACAGTGCTCCTCAAACTTCCGTGCAGACAGCCCAGCTGGGAGCTGGGAAGGTGCAGGCCGGGTGAGGCCCGAGGGTCTCGCTGCAAGGGCAGCTGATGCTCACAGCCCTGGCTGTGGACAGTCCTGGTGAGAAAGGCCCGATACTCACTGATCAGGTTGGAGGTGAGGGGCGAGAACTTCTCCTTCGTGGTCATGTCGTGCAGGCTTTTCACTTTAATCGAACGCTTTGTAAAGGGGTTCAGGATCGAAGCAGCCATTTTCGGTTCCTTCAAGATTTGCTAAAAATTCCAAAAAATAACTTCTTAAACTCTTTAGAGTATAAATGATCTTAGCCACCATACACATCTTTCTTATGAAACATGTATTTCATGAATTAAATCAGCACTCTCAAAGCACAAAGAAGTTTACAATCAAATAATTTCTCTGCCGTTCAGAATACACACCAGGATTCTACACAGGACACAGTATTTCTTGAAAAAAAAAAAAATGTAGGCTTTAAGACATTTCGTAAAATTAATTTTTGCCTTTTGAGAGACTATATAAAAAAAGTAAGCAGCCCAAAGATCCGATTCATTGCATATTTTAATGTATTTAACATGGGTAATACCCCAGTTTTTCATGTACTAAGAGGACACCAGCAATGTCAACACTCAAGTGCAGACCTAAAAAGTGCCCCCAACCCTGGAGGGGCCCCTCTATCTCAGGCCACTCCTGACTGTGCGACCTCTCAGAGCTCCGGAGAACCACCTCAGCCCGAGGGGCCGCTGGTTTGCGGAGCAGCCTCTAGCAGTCTGGGTGGAGAGCAGACAAGAACCAGGAGTGCAGGCGCCATGAGAGCGGCCCCTGTGTCCACTCTGTTAAAGCACAGATGTCTGGATCCAGTGACCGCCGGCTGCTTCCATCTTTGATTACAAGCCGCTGCCTGCCGCTCGGTTACTGTCAGCACCTCTCGCAGGCCTGAGCGCTGTCTCGGACCCGCTGCCATCGATGGGAAATGGCAGGCTGAGTGGCCCCAGGCAAACACCATCCTCCCAGAAAAACTGCTGGCTCACCTACGCGAAAAGCATCGTGGAATCTGGGTGGTCCAACGGACAGTTTGTGACACCTGTGGCATCACACTCTCCTCTCATTTTCACTTACAAAGAGTCTTAGGTCACGGACTCCTTCCGACATCCCCAGGCGTCACTGACTTCCAGTCTTAGTCAAACGCCACCGAGGCCCACAACCCAGGTCGTTCTCCCTGCTGTGAACACCACTGCTCAGGTTTGGAACGGGAACTGACGACAAGTAGTGGCAACACTCGTCACCTCCAAAAATGCCTGTGTGCCACCTGTGGGCTCTTGCTACCATTCCCCCGCGTGGCTCCGAGTCAGGCTGTGGCTGTGAGGGCCGTGAGCGCTGACCACACAACCCAGACCGTCAGCATGACCCACACAACTAGCTTGTGAGGTTTCTTCCCCCAAACAGTGAGATTAAAAAAAAAACCAACCTTTAGAAACCTGTGGATTAAAAATTGTAAAACATTTGTAAAACAAATGTAAAAAGAGCATGACTGTCTGCGGAGAGGACCCGGCTGTGTCCCCCTGTCCCCGAGCAGACTCACTGGCAGAGGCAGCTGCAGCGGCCAAGGCGGGAAGCAAGGAGACCTGCGACCGCGCAGTGGGCAGCGCAGCGGAGTCCCAGCTAAGGCACAGGGCGGGCTTCCGCTAGCTCAGCTCATTTCCTCTTCTCTTCATGTTAAAGTAAAAGGAAGCCCTTTCCCTGGCATCTGTGCGGAGCTCACACTTTACCAATTCTGCTGCCCAGCGTGTTCTCTCAGTCATGTCCTCTCACATTTTGGGAATAAATTAGTAATTAAAACCAAGAAAAGGCTTCATAAGGAAAACAAATTCCCAGTAAATCAAAATCATAATATATTCTAAAGACTACTTTGGAAATACCGGGAATAAAAGCACAGATTTTCAAAGATGTCTTTTGAAATGGCAATTTTTTTCTTATATTACCAGCTCATATTTCTATTTCTTCTCTTAGCTTAAATCTTGGTTTCTAATATTAATATCCTTGTATGTGTCTGTTTGTACCTATTACACAATAGACTGAGAACAATAATACCCAGTACTATTACTATCAACATGATTACAGAAAATAGTTCTTTTGCAGTTCTTCTCTGAGGCTACACCTCATTGGGACATATAATGAGACAATTAGAGGAAGAAATATACAACGGGAACTTAGCAATGAACAGGAAAGCTACTTACTGCTACTCTCAGCAATTCCTTTTCCACCTGCTCCAGTTTATTCTGTTTAGATGCAGCAGAATAAAGGGCAGTGGCATAGCGACCTTCGACACCATACACCTGAACAGGTGGCTTTAAAGGAAGGTGGGGCAGGGGAGGAAAGGAAAAGGCAAGTCAGTTCAGATAAATTATACCGTCAATAGCAGAATTAAACAGTGACTATTTTAAAAAGACATCCTTTGTAGCATAAAACAGTTTAACTGTGTTGCCAGAGAGCCATCCTGAACTCAGACACATCAGCAGTGTTTCCTTGGCCAGGTGGCTCGGTCTTTGAGTCCCAGTTCCTCACCCTGTAACGAGGGCCTTGGGAAACACCGTATCTAACGTGCCTGTCAGCTTAACCATCTAGAATCAACTCTGTTCATTTTGAGATGAGTTCTGCTTCCTCTGAATGCAATACTATTCTGTTTCAAGTATGGGTTTTTTATACACTGATAGGAGGCAGTTTTGACCATGTTAGAGTCATGAAAACAGATGATTATGAAACATATGCTAGCATACTTCATACATGTCACAGTACTACTATGGATGTCTCTTACAGAGCCTCCCCATCAGAGTTCACTTCAGTGGGACCCTGTAGCCATTTACTACGTGCCTGAAGCTTGACTTGCTTTTCACAATAAGCGAATCAACCACTGGCGTTTCCTGCACACTGCCCTCAGTGTGGACTACAGATCCCAGTGGCACTGTGGCTGTGGCGGAAAAGCTCAGGCTCTGAATGAGGTTTAGTTCCAGTGCGGCTCCAGGACCAAGCTGAACAACCTGTGACAAGTCTTCCCAGAGTCTGTTTCCTCTTTTGTGAGATGGGAAGACCAGCTACTTCCCATCACTGTTCTGAGGTTTAAGGAATTCTCCTCTTTAAAGCTTATGTATGGGCATTTAACTTTATTCATTCCCTAGTCCCATGCACACAGCATGTTCTGGGAACCACAGTCGTGCGGAAAGGTTCAGGCAGGAACTACGCGAAAGTCCACACCCTAATGGTACTGCTGCTGGTCTCTGCCCGAGAATGCCCCAGAATGACCAAGAATAAGCTGACCTACCCGAACCAGCTTGGCAAATGGCCTGGCCACAGACGTGCTGAAGCATCGCACCTTTAAAACAAAAGAAAGCAGGTCAAATCGAGGTGACTCGAGGAATTTCTGCATCGAAGCCAATAAGTAATTTTAAATACGACTTTTACGTGGTTAGTTTCTTGTGTCTTTGTATCATCACATAGATTACATGAGATGAGCTGTAAATTTCCCTGCTGAGAACCATCCCAAGTTTCTTGGGAAACTGCCTTCCCTTCTGCTAAGACACACTTTGTCTGGCACTCCGGTGTATAGACAAAACACTCATTTTGATGAAATACAAGTTTCAAAAAAATGTAAAGATTTTTAGCATTTATGTTACCACCCTTGAGCAGGATTCCAGCCATGATCTGCAAGAGCTGTACCTTCTCAGAACCCAAACACTCTCTGAAAATAAGGACTGGCCCTTGAGTAGGCAGCAGAGTCCAGGAGGAGAACAGGCTCTGTTCTGGGAGGTGGTGTCTCGTCTGTGGAGGGGCGGTGTTGGCACCCGGTCTTTAAGAGCCACCTGCCCGGGCACAGGTCACCTTCCAGTAGCCCCAGCTCCTGAGTGTTCTACCACACAGCTGGCTGTGAGGATGAAAAACCTTGCAGCACGCCTGGAAGTTACTGAGCTGTCAGAGGTCCTGACACGCACATCATGCGCCTACAGGGGTGCAACGAGCAGGAATGTTCTCCGTCCTCCGTGTGACCCCGTGGGTTCGGATCTCAGCTCGACCCCTTCCTGGCCGAGCATCCCAGCGCGGGTCACCGAAACGTTTCTGTCGCGTTTTCCTTATAAAAACCTGAGACGTGCTTGGCAAAGATCCCTTAGCGTCGCCAGGACCCCCGACAGGTCTGATCCTAAGGACACAGAGTCGGGGGGGGGGGGGGGGTCCTGGCTCGCGATCCGGGGAAGCCCGGCGCCCAGCTCCTGGGGCCTTCAAGCCTGCTGCTCCCCGCAGCCGTGCTCAGCGGACGCCGAGGCCAGGCCCGCGCCCCCGGCCCGCGCCGCCTGGGGCGCGGCTGCGGGGCCGCACGAGCCGCCCTGCGTCGCCCCCACCACCCCGAACGGCGGCCATGCTCCCCCAGCTGCGGCCTGGCGCCGTGGCTCTAGGGGTCTGGCACAGCCACCCCTCCCACTGGCTCTCAGCACGTCGGGCTCACCTGCCGGGAGAGCCCGGACACAGCGGGGGAGGCCATGTTCTCCCGGGCGGCTGTAGGTCAAACCCGAGTTGGGAGAGAGACGCGAGGGCGCATGCGTGCGTCAGCGTAGCCGCTCGGCCCGCTGGGAAATGTAGGCGTCGGTCGTCAGGCCGCATGCGCAGGGATCTCGCTCGGGCTGGGAGTTGTAGTCCTTAGAAGTGGGCGGTAAATTACAGGGCTGGGGGTGGGGTGGCAGGCTGGGAGAGCATCTGGAAATGAAATCCTTGCGTAACCAAGTGGCCCTTACTGTAGGATGGATTTATTGTCCCAAGCTTTACATTTTCCACTTCGATACACCCGGTGCAGTGGTTGCATTCATCACCGGCATCAAAGAATATTTATCCCTTCTTCCAATCAGCCAAAGTGTGTTTCAAGCGCAGTTCCTCACGCTGTATTTTAAAACATGCACTACAGGAAACGAACTTTACAGCCCCAGAAGCAGACACTGCGTGCCCGGTACCTGGGACGTGACTGCCCCTTCATCACCACCCCCACCCCACCGCCCCATCCCACCTGAGCACAGGAACGATCTGTGGGTGTGTGAGACTGAGCTAGATTCTGGATTCTGGGTAGGACAGAGTGATTATCCGAGAATCGGACCCAACATAGGAGAACTGGGGTTTGAGCAAGTGTGGCATTGAAACCGAGGACCCAACACTAACCCTCATAGAAACAACCTATGTTCAATCTATTGCCCCATAAATGGAGCTTACTCTACTGTGCTCTTCTGTACAGAATAGAATGGCCCACAGAGTGCGGGATTGGAATTACCTGGCTGTAATAGTGGGGTCCTGTGATCACTTCAAAGGTCTTTTTCCGCTCAGATCTATTATAGGAACACAGATTAATTCATTAACTTATCCTTTTAAAGTGTGGATTTTCTCATCACTACAAAAACACTTGTAAAAATGCAAAAAGGTAGAAGGAATGTAATTGCTCTCTTTCCCACCACCCAGAGGCAACTATTGTCAATATTTTGGTGTGTTGTCTCCTAGTATTTTTTTAGGCAGTAGCCTGAACTGCCAGGCATGAATCCCAGTCCTTTTGGTGACCTTGGTCCAGTTATATAACTTCTCTATGATTTGGTTTTCTTATCTATAAGATATAGTAGCACCTGCCATGTAGGTTATTAGGAAGAATAAAAAGGTTAATATATATATATGTAAAATATTTAGAACATTTGCTTGACACAGTGGCACTCAGTAACATTCGTTTTTTATTTTGTATTTGTTTTATTATATATACAGATTCACAATTTGTATATAATTTAGTATCTTGCCTTTTCCCTTAATACACGAGAAAAAAGGATACTAAATTATATATGATTTGTGAATACATGCTTACAACACGAGCATATAATTTTCATAAACACTGAGGAAATATATCAAAATAGGGAATATATCCAATGGAGTTGCTTTAACTAAGCTGCTAAAATTGCTAACACGATGAAGTTTAAGGCCTGAGGAGGACCCCATTCTTGTTCTAATTAGCCTGGGAACTTAAATGTTTTGAACTTTCCAGTCTTGTGTCAGTGCCTCGATATTCATCTGGACATATAGCAGACCTCCAGACAATACTCTAATTAACCTCTAACAGATCACATATGCACCCACCTGACATCTATTATCCAGACCACTGGATGTGACCAGACCTCATGGTGCCCATCCTCTGGGCCACCTGGCATCCATCATCCTGCCTGCCATCTGACTGGTAACCATCCTAGGGCTAAGAATGCAGGACTGATAATTCTCAAGAATGTGCTTTTTAAAGAATATTTAATGTTTCCCTCTTCTTTGGAACACTTCTGGGTTTTTGCCCAATTGTTTCTAAGACTCTTGACTAAATTGCTATCATTTATTTCTAGCAAAGCCTGCTGAACTCTTTCTGAGTTTGACAATATTGTTTCAATGGCTGCAGAATAATCCATCAAGTAGATAGTCTGTAACTGTAGTCAACGATTTTTGAACATAATTCAGATGGTTTCTGTTTCGTTTTTGGTTTTTGGCCATTTTAAACAATACTGCATCTTCTGAGCATCTTTAGGCACAACTTTTCCCCCCCTTTATACTTGATAACTTCCAAATAGATTTCCAGAACCGGCACAACTTGGTGACAGGGTATGAGCATTTAAAAAGTCTGTGATCCATTCTGCTATTCAAAAGTTTTAACAAATTTACATTTTCACTAGCAGTGCATAAAAAGCCATGTTTCACTCCACTCTGCAAACTACTTTTCAGAGGCTGGGTTCAAATGAGCCTAACAGAAAGTATATTATTCGTCATGCAACACATTTTATTGAGCACCTATTATGTGGAGGCAGCTGTTTTATGCCCTGAAGGTACATCAGGGTGCCGGACAAAGTGTGTGCCTTCACCGACCTTATATTCTATGTAAAACCAGATCCCAACCCGTGATTCCAAATGTGTGCATGTTCACAGATGCAAACCGACAGTTCTGGGCCAAGCACACTTGGAAAACTCTAGACTCTTTATTTCATTGATCATTAATTGTAAGTAAACTGTTTGACTGTAATGGTACAGAAACTGCATTTCTTTAATCTGACCTTTTCTCCTTCTTTCCTTTCGATTCAAACTGGCCTTGTCCAGTCTAGGAGCACCCTGCCTCACCTACCTCCCTCTCCCTTGCACACCCACTCCCTGAATCATTAAGCACTCAGGACAACGAGGTTCTAGTCAGCATCAGATGATCTTAGGAGCAAAGCCTCTGGTCCCTTGACCGCAGAGACAGAGTCTTGGTCAAACTAGCGATCACATCTAGGCCTCAGTTGTGCTGCAGCTTCAGGCCCAGAGAGGTGGAACCACCCCACCCACCAAATCCTCAGGAAACCAGACAGCGCCATGGCTGATGTCGGGACCAGATGAAATGAACTTTTACCCCCTACCCCAGTGCTGACCAGTCAGTGGAGAACACGACGCTGACTCCCCATAATTATTGATTTCCCCCTTATAACCCATCGCCTGGAAGCCGGCAGGGAGCCAGGTCTTTGAGCACCAGCTCGCCTGTAACTCCCGCGTGGCCCGTCTTCTCAGGGAATAAACCTCTACTTTCTCTGCTGCAAACTCCTGTTGGCCTTTGGCTGTGCTCTGAATCCCGCGGGCGAACCGACCCCTTCGGTTCGGTAACACAGTCGCAGAGCAGCAGGGCGATGCGCTGTGTCTCCTTTGCGTTCACCCTGCCCCAGTCCAGCCCCTTGCACATCGCCTGAAGAGGAGTTTGTGGCTGTTTGAGTTCTCGGGTTTATTGGCTGGTTGCACATCTGGTTGCGTTTTCCTTTGAGTCCCAGGATAAGTCTAAGATGTAGACGGTCTGGCCCCCAGTTTCCAGGTGGCGAAACTCCTCAGATCGTCTTAGGGGAGCTCACCTAGGATATGACAGTTCTGAGTCCCAGGGTGAGTGTTTGGGCACGGGAGTTCGATGCCAGTGATGTTGGTGATTTGGACGGTCAGAGGAGCACACAAGAGTCAAATCTCTTCCACCTGCTCAGATCTGGGGTGTCTGCGGGGCTCTCACTGCAGGGACCGCGCGCGCGACAGCTGGGGCCCAGGCGCGGACTCCGTGAGCTGGCAGGACAGAGCGTTTGGAAAAATAAAGAATTGGGAAAGAAAAGAATTTTGTCCCATAGAAGAAGGGAAAAGACTCAGCACTCTGGTTTTATAGCGCCTTCCCTCGGTACAAACTTAAATTGTTTAAAAATGAGCTGTTTTAACAGCCAAGGCCGACGGAGGCAAAGGGACTTGCCCAAGGCCCCGGGCCAGGCCACAGCTGTAGCGAGACCCGGGCGTCGAATCTCGACGTCGCTCTTCTAGGCTGACTTTCAAGTCAAAACAATATTTCTCGCTGTCCTCCCGTCTCTGCTGAGGAGCCGCGCGGCAAACAGAGCCTGGTGTCGGGGTCCCTCAAGGGCGCGTTTTAAAAAGCAGCGTGGCTTTCCTTTGGACCCCGAAGGGACCCTTCTAAAACTCGGAGATCTGGGAGAAGGCCAACGTGCAAAATGTTCGCTGCGCTCACTCTGAAACTGCGGAAAATTGAGAACAAATGCTTGAGGGTAAGAAAATGGGTTTTAAAATGGCACGTTGTGGAGCCATTGCAATGAGCATCGCAACACGTGCTTAATGACATAGAAACATACTTAAGGACACTGAAGGAAGACTACAGATTACTCTCTGTGTCTGTGTACAGTGAACATGTGCTGCTGCCACAGTTAGAAACGTAAGGAGAAAACGGATGCCCCGATGCTGTCAGGTCCCCTGCGCCCGTAGAGGAGGGACCCGTCGCTCTGGTGTCTGACATGAAGGGCACCTGTTTCGGGCTGACTGGTGCCATGAGGACCTCCGAGTGTCCATCCAAGATCAGCTTCCACCAGCCTGGAGGACATTGTCCTTTTTTCTTTCTTTCTTTTTTATGCCTTTGTCTCAGTTTTTGTTTTTTTTAATCCTCACCCGAGGACATTTTTGCATTTATCTTCAGATAGAGTGGGAGGGAGAGAGGGGGAAAGAGAGAGAGAAACATCGATGTCAGAGAGACACATAGAGTAGCTGCCACCCACGCGACCCCAACTGGGGCCAGGAACAAACCGCAACCAAGGTATGTGCCCTTAGCGGGAACCAAACCCGGGACTCTCTGGTCTGTGGGACGACGCTCTAACCACTAAGCCAAACCGGCCAGGGCTTGTCTCAGTTTTTTAACACTGTTTTTAAAAAACGATTTTTAGACAGAGAAGGGAGAGGGAGAGAAACATTGATGTGAGAGCGGACATTGATGGGCTGCCTCCTGTGCACCCCATAGCTAGGAGGGAGCCTGCAACCCCGGCATGTGCCCTGACTGGGAAGTGAACGGGTGACCTTGGGTGCATGGGATGATGCTCAACCAACTGGGCCACACTGGCAGGGCTGATAACTGTATTCTTAATTTTTTAGGCACCTCCATGCTGCTTTCTATAGCAGCTGTACCAGTTTACATTCCTCCCCACATTCCCAGAGGATGTTTGATTTGACTTTGCAGAATACATACTACAGATG